TCCACAAAACACACGCACACACACACACACACACACACACACACACACACACACAGTGTTGCATTCCATGAGCGTCTTAAATATACACTAAAATGTTTAAGAATTTGCAACGACGTATACATCGGATGATCTAGAGATGGACCAAATCACTTAGAAGCGACAAAGTACATATTTTCCACATTTCAGTCATTGCCACTTATCTTGGAGGAGTATAAATTTATTAAGTGTTCATTTTATACGAGTTTATATTTGTGTTTATCTTAGTTTAGTCGCAATATGAAAATATGACAATTAATATCTAATCAATTTTCAACACATTTACATTTTAATTAAATGATTACTATGCCTGTCAATAATGTAAAATATCTCATATATAACAATAGAATATACAATAATATATGCAATTTGAGGATTGGTCAGATGTAGCATCGGTGTATCCGCAACGGTTGATCCTGAGACGTGTCAATTGTTTTGTCCTATTTGTTTTAATTCTAAAGGGGAAGAACACACTTCAAATCCTACGTCGGCGGAATGTAACCCCATGGTCCGTGGTCATTAGCTGTTTAACTTATGCACAGACTGGTTTCCTATGTGTACTCGATGACAAGCCTTGATTCTAGTTATGTGCTGGTTGAAATATTTCTTTTTAATCCAGCAACCGCTCCTGCGATGCGAATTATTGGTTTCTTTGATACAAATTATTTTACTAATATATTCTTCTTTACACCTTTAACATCGATTGACTGTACAAAACATATGCAATATCATGTAAGGTGCAATGTTCCCTCAAATATGCATAAATGTATCGTGCCTGATGCACTCGAAAATTGTACATTACTGCGTCGTAGTAAATGAGCTATAGAGCGTGTTTGTGCTAGTCGTTTTGCTGAATCACGCAACCAGTAAGTCTGCTTAAACATTGTCAAGCTTTGTTTACTCTATAAAAAAGAAAATTTGACCTTTCTCGTTCTTTTGCATATTAGTCTAACTTCGAACATCATTTATATTAACTTTACTACCTTTGCCCCATTTGTCTCTGGTTACACAAGACCGTGTTGTTGCTAAAGATGAAATATAGTCTTTATGTAAATTAAGTGCAAAAAAGTATTTCTCTTTAATAGTCTTGTTTTATGTGTTTCAAAACTTGTACAGAATTACTGTAATAGTGTATTTATCTGTAATAGTCTTGTTTTATGTGTTTTTACACTTGTACAGAATTACCGTAATAGGGTATTTCTCTGTAATAGTCTTGTATGTGTTTTTACGCATGTACATAATTACTGTAATAGGGTATTTCTCTGTAATAGTCTTGTTTATATACGCCAATTTTTACAATATTGCAATCTAAGAGTAGGAAAGCATTCTCTTTAATATTATTACATCATGTTAGGAGTCGGATAATCTCAGGAGACTCATATATGTAAAAGAATTATTACGAAAAGGCGCCATTTTTTTAGAAATATGAACTGCGTGCGCGCACACGCACACGCACATATAACACAACCGTATTCAATGTACACCCCCTCCCTATAGTGTACACATGTACAGGTTAGTGGTGTGTAGCAGTTTTATAATATGTGTAACTATGATTCTAATGGTTATTCTTTAGAGCTTACACACAGATAATATTTTATCAAAACCATATTTGAAAAATAGTTTTCTTAGGTGGCAGGGTACAGTTTCGTAGATTGGCCGTTGGTAAATTTCTTAACTTAAGGGTATGGTAAGACTTCTTCAGCTATTATTGTTTGCTAATTAAAGATATGGATAAATTTGTGAACTAGGTATTTCGAGCTTGTGTTGTTCTTGAAAATGATTTCAGGCATGTACAACTTCCATAGTTACTCTGCAGTATCTTGATAGTAAAATACGAATAGTTGGATAGGAAGAGGAGCTATCCTCCCGTACCAGTAAACACATGGGTTTGGGGCAAGTATAATATCTTAAAAACAGCTTGGATGACAACTATTTTAAACTGCATCAGCCTGTTTAGTACACACTGTTTCGCAGAATTGTCATCTTAGAAAAGGGCCTGTGTTTGCACTGTGATCATCATGGTGTCAAAAATGACTTTCGGACATGGCAATTGCAGGTATAAATTTGTGGTTGGGGTGCATACACTTCTTCTGCTATGAATTGCCACTGACTTTTCTGGTCAAGTGGCTAATATTTTTGTGCTTTGTTGTAATATAGGTATCTCAAATTATGGACATTCTTGACCTCACTTGTGTATTTGATTTTTTATGATTTTTTTGTACTAGGTCACTGATTGCAGCATTAAATTTGTACATAAAACTGTCCGCTGTCCCCTTATTTACAAAAAGAGAAAGAGCAAGCGACGTTTCTCATTACCCTGCGTGGTCGTGGGCTAAAAATTACAATGAAAAAGTTTGATGTAACCTCAGATCTAAAAGGTCAAAAGATGGAGGATTTTGTTTAGTTTATTGTTTAGTTTTTGATACCTGAAACCCTGGATGTGTTAACGTAGATTATTAGTGCATTGTTTGCGAATAATTGCATTTAAAAGCACGATTCTTGCAAAAAGATGTAGCATGTATTACCTGCTCTTGATATAAAAGCGGAAGTGAGTTATCACTTGAACACGGAATTCGTTAACAGTTTGTTTTGTAGGCTTAACGCCATGTTTAGGCACGTAATGGGCTGTACATGTCTGACAGTATATTAAGTACACGAAAAACTCAGAGACGACTCCGGGAATAACTGACGACCCACCTAATGGCGAGCTTTCTCACTTACCCACGCTATCCGAGACGAGACCCACTACGACAGAGGTCACATGCCTCAGACCACCTCGGCCACCCGGGTCACTCACTAAAATTGAGATGGGAGGAAAGAACTATTCGAATATACTGACAACATACCTACCAACAAGTATATAACTAGCAGATGAGCATGGCAGTATTAATGGGCACAAGTCAACTGTTATGGGTCATATCCATGAGAAATACTCAGTACGAAGACCAATATATACATAACCAATTATATTGTCACACTTATATACTAAAGACAAGTGAAAATGGCATCTTCCTGTCACTTGTATTAGTATCTGAATTAACTTTTATTCTTCAATCTGAACAATCCAAGCCCTATCCGTCAATACATGACGGAAATAACCGAGCGATATTTCAATTATTGTATTATTTTACCGTTTGTCTGGTTCCCTGACCGCTCTCCACCCTTTTGCTCTCCGTTATGACGAAACCTCATTACGAAGATTAAGGGAGTAAAAAAAAATTTTTCAATGAATATCCATTCTTTTTTCAAAACCACGAATTTACAAACCCAAAGACAAGATAAATCGACCTATAGTAAGTGGGATATTCACGAATAAGTTATGACGCAGACGAGCATGTAACTTTGTACAAACAGCAAGGGTTTCAGTAAAATGAATGAATTTTTAGCATTAATTACACATGTAGAAATGCATCCATGTTTTCTTGTCCAAGAGATAGGAAATTAGCAAAGATTGGATATTTTGGCCATCAGAAAAATCGATTTTGTTGTTAGTATTAAACTTTGAAAGCAACGTTTTAAATTAAGTGATTACGTTGAAAATACCTCTCTCCCTCCTCCGTCTCTACCTCGAAAAACAACATAATAGGAAGCCACCAATAAATGTTTGTGTACGGTAAACAAAAGTGGTAAGAAGACTACATGATACATCAGTTCCTTTCCACAAAAGAACTCCATTTGGCAATAGTGTGAACGCTTCCATTCTCACGGACCCTAAAGGTCATTGCCCAACAAAAATATTAAGCTCATCAATTTTCTCATTATTTCCATTTGTAATACCAGAGATTTGCAATGTAACAGGCCCGTCTATGTTTCCCTGCTATATCGAGGATAACTTCTGGTTAAATCCAGGATAAATATTCTTTTGTCTAAGAAAGGACAAAGAGAATGGGGACAAGTTTTCTATAATGGGAACGAAGATGGGTTTCGACCGCCATTGTTTGTGCTCACTCAGGCCAAATGGTTACATCTGACCACAGATCTCGAAGCTACGAAAAGCCGAATGTGTTCACGCAACAATGGCCTTAAACTTTACAAATTGATGGTTTATTTATAACCCGAGGGGAAAAACTGAGGGATAATTTAAAACATGTGTTTGATTTCTGATTACTTTGTGAATATGGCTTGCGGTACCTCCCCCCTCCTCTCTCCGACGTTTTTGAAACTACATACTTGGATCCAGAAAGACCATTTAATTCCAGGTCTTTCATATCAGAACAACTAAAGATAACATCAGTTTGTACAATTTTGCATTTCTCTCTTATAACAAAGTTTGAATGAAATTATATTCATGTGATTAATTTGAAACAAAGACGTCCAAGAGTGTTATAACTAAGAAGATTTTTTTCCACTCTGCAATTATAAGTCTACAATATGAAATATTTGTGTATCATTTGCTAACATTAAAAGGAAAAGGTACTATCAAACATTCTACTAAATTTCGACATTGTATTAGAACAAGGATCCCATGAAATCTGTCCCTTTCGATTTTTGGATACTTATATTAGTACTTCTAAATTCCATGTCGATTCAGTCTTTTCAATTACACGACTTTAATATTTTTCTCTTCATACAAAATGTGTGCCCACTCGGTACGAGACTTTGACTGCGCTCCTTTCAAAATCTGGCTGACCGACCCTCCTATGCCGTATACTCGCTTACAAGACGAGTCCAGCCGCAAACTACACATACCCAGATCTGTCGCGCGCGCGCGCGTGTGTATTTATGATTTGGATTTTTTTAACGCAACTTTTTAATTAAGTCCAACCATGTCACTATGATGTCTTCAGTATGACAGTTTATAGTGATGTCTAGCACTGGGGCATCATGCCACAGAAATGTAGGATGATGTCCCTCTCCCCCAGTCACATTATTCTGACACCATGCCGACCAGTCCTAACAATAACCTATTAATGCTGATTGTCTAGCGAGGCAGCTGTTAATACATTTTTTATAAGTCTTTGGAATGACTCGGCAGTGGTTCGAACCTCTTACCTTCCACATCCGAGGCGGACGCTCTAACCACTAAACTACTTCCGGCTCGAGTCTGTGCAGTTTGTAAGTTTGTGCAGCCAGTAAAACAAACAACATTTAGCCCATTCTGCAGTCGCATCATGCTAGGTATGAAAGTTCCGGCTCACTTGTTGCTTGCGTGTTGACTCAACGTACAATCTAGTATAGACTGTTTTGACAATCATGGGTCTCTCGAATGACTTTAAAACCAGTAACAGATTTTGTACCATACACCCCTTGAGCGACACTTATCTCAGATAAAGATACTACTGCGAAGTACCCGATTTTGATTGTCAAGAAATTGTTATTTCCTCCGCTTAAGAATATTACGTGTGATGCAAAGAATAGTTTGTTTTTCACTAACTATAGAAGTAGTTAGTTGAGTAGTTAGACATCTATTAGTTTTATTTCTAGACCAACTCTTGATGATTGTTAGTGTACATAACATTGTGTTTCTTTCTTGCCGAAAAAATAAATGGACAGAGCCGGCCTAATGCCGACTGGACTAATTTGGCTCAATAGGATTCCGCGATCCCAGGAGCCCCGGCGCATTAGTAATTTTTAAATAGGTAGAGAGAACGTTATTTTAATGCGATTGAAGAAAATTTAAAATTCAATATATATAAAACTTGATTAAAGGTTTATTTCTAAATGTCGTGGTCACAGTGGACCCCACGCGTAAATCCAGGGGGAGGGGAAAGCTCTTCAAAATGATCCAAATCGGGCCCTGCATTGCTATGGCTATTATTGTACATACGTATATGAAATTCATAATCTGTCAAAAACAGCGTGACTTGCTCCAATACAAATAAGCTTGTGTCATGATATAGTTTTGCATTTTGATGTACGGGTTCGAATCCTACTATGGGACCGGCCTGGGTCATCTGCTGATGTGTGTCCTTGAACAAAGTAGATTAATTGTCTCTGCACTAAATAACGTGCAAGTGTTGCAGTGTCGTAAAACACCAAACCAAACCAAACCGAACCGAACATCATACCCTGCAATTTAGTACAGAAATGATAAAAGTGCATAATAGCATTAAATGATTTCGTTACTTTTGTCCATAAGGACTTTTTCTAGAACAACGCAACTAAAATAGAATCGTAATTAAGAATATATATATATATATATATATATATATATATATATATATATATATATATATATATATATATATATATATATATATATATATATATATATATATATATATATATTACTATCATGGCTGTCGATTCGATCTAACAAATCTTCTCTCTCGGTCTCTATCACAGATAAATATAACTGCATCTCTATTTTGTACAGCACAAAAGTCAAAATAATATATCATGAAACAACATATTTATACTTTGCAAGGTTTATTTTTGTATGAGCCTGTCGCGCTGTTTTTCATACATATTGCTTGTTTACATTTGCTTGCAAACCCACTCGATTTTTTACTGCCATCAAATTTAGACATACTAACCTGGTAGCTTAGATCTTAAATGAGAAAATTTTTCAACTTTTATGCGTCAGTACTCGGGCTTAAGCGCCTTTCAGAAACTGACCGACCGTAATTTATTTACATAATTATTAAGACACTCGAATGACATTATAACCAGTAATAAAATTTTCAGTACGTACGAAGCACCATGATTGGTATGTAGCATAACTGACACTATCAAACTACCAATAACACATACAAAAAAAACTGTCGGTTGACATGCTTTACGTGAGGTACTGTAGCAGACGATTCAATGCACGTGGCGAGTATTGACCCGTAAATGGTGCATGTTGGCGTCTTGCCAAGAAAGCAACAGTCTAGAGCAGATGTAAAAATAGTAGCTTACGCATGCATTACCAGATAGACGTTTGTAAACTATCGTGTGTATAAATGACCCCTATCGAGGTTGTGTCACAGAAGTAGACTTAGCGCAACTTAAATTGCACAGTTCAGAACTGTTAATATTGTTCGGTGCACTTGCATGTTTTAAGGCTATTATTTACACTACCATCCTACCACAACGTGATTTTTTTAAGATAAAGGTCAAGTTTAAGATTTTGTCTTGTAGATTTGTGTGTGCGCTGCTTTAGTAGATATGGAATAATAATGTATATAATTTGTTACTTGAGATGAGAAGAAAACGCATTATATTTAAAATGCTTAGTTTGAAGCAAATAATATATTTATTCCAAGTAACCCCTGCCCTCGTCAACATTCTGTGTTACAATTGTATGCACTATCGTCCTGGTTGCAAGACTTATTTTCATTTATATTGTTTATTATCGCTTGTGCCTGAAAATCAGGTAAGAAAAAAAAAAGAAAGGAAAAATAAACCCTGGTAAAGTTAAACACACCATTCTCTTCTCATCTTTCTCTTTCTCCTCCTCCTCCTCCTGTTTAACCTACTAATGCTACAAACATTGCATCACATATATATACTGATGCAGCAGTTATTTTTACTATATTTCTAAGAAAAGATCGTCTCTTTAATTCAAACTCCAAAAATGCCAGAGATTGGAAATATTCTTTTTTTCAGTATCGGCAACTAAGGTATACACATAATCGCCTTTTCCTCCAAACAAAAATGGTGTCACTTAGACTTATATCAATGTGACTATCGTGGCTTCATTTAACATTTAAAATGGCGGCTATCGTGGGCATACATGTACTACTGCTTTTGAATGGTTTGACATGTTTACAGTAGGATGTCATCAATTCATTTCCGAGACTGTGTGTTTTGGTCTCAGTTAATGTGGCAGTCATTTAATAGCCGTCCATTGGTCCTACATCATCAACGTGCTGTGTGTGGCGGTTATTTTAAAAATCTTTCCCATCGATACTTTTTTTTTTTTTTACAAGATTTCATCATATTTCATTCGGTTTCAGCTTAAGTGAATGTGTTCACTATCAGCATTCAGCTTTGCATGTTATTAGTATTTCTAATAACAGAATCAGGTAAATACAGTACATGGAGACAACTCAAATATCATGCAATTACATAAACTTTGTCTCATGATACAAAATCTCACATCCGATGTTGAATTGCAGGGAATTTCATGACGTTGAGGTAAAGCTATATATTCAATTTTTTAAGTTCCGCTTTAAAAAAACATTGTGAATTTACTCTAATGGTGCACATCTTTGATGTGATCAAAATTTTCATATCGTGCGATAGGCAAACGCATGTAATGTAGTTCGAAACGTGGGAAACGGTATGTTGACAAAGTGATATAGTACGGTACGTAAAGAAAGACCAGAAACCGAAAGATACAAACCACAAAAAGCGATGCGCGAAGGCATTGGAATGGTATGCTTTGGTCACAGTAGAGGTGTTAAAGAACAGATCAGAAACGGAAGGAAATGATATGCAAAGAAACGCAGACGAACGGGATGGGAGAGGCTGAAAAACGACCAGAAACCATACGGAAATCGAAATACATTTTAGGAAATAAATAGTTACGTTACGTAATCTGTACGATTAAAGTACAGATCAGGAACGGTAGGAAATTATATGCTAAGGAAAGCAAACGAACGTGATAGAGGAGGCTGAAAAACGACCAAAAACCATACGGAAAGCGAAATATATTTTATGAAATAAATAGTTTTTTTAACCTGTACAATTTAATTGCTGCAAAAGGCATAACATATACTGTGCACTTCTATAGGTTACGCAATGGGGTTTGGGAATTATCGATGAAGGTTGGGAGAGCACATGGCAAATTTATTGGCTATACATCTCCAGCAATAAAGAGAAAGTTATAATACATTTACCTATATCTCGATTAATGTGGGGTAGATTATGTATTATACACGGCTGATGAGAATAACTGTTTTGGTGTGACCGGAAAATGTACTTAAAATAAGTACAGTAAATTTTCCTGTGCCTGAATAAAGAAAAGATTTTTAAAAAGTGTAGACATTGCTATTTTCTCAAATTGCATTATGCAAATTTTGTAAAATATCAAACAAATCAAACAGTTGTCGGCTCATTTATTTTGGAGGGGGTGTCTATTTATTATTCTCCTATGAAGTTCCGGAAATCAGGAATGAAAAAAAAGTTATGCAGAGCTAGCAATCTTCTACCGGATGCACATCAAACAATGGGCCTTCCATAAGATGTAAATAAAATAAGTCCCTTTATGAGATACACCTACAAATTAAGGCCTATGGGATGGATACAAAAGCAAGCCCTTGTATTAGAGGCATATAAAGACAATGTCTTTTTCGAGCTGCTCATTAAAGTAAGGACTTCTATGAGATTTACATAAGAACAGGGCCTTTTATGAAATATACATAGAAACAAAAAACTTCTGAGATGCCGATAAAAAACAAGTCCTTTTGTGAGATGCACGTAAGATAGCCTCCTGTGAGATGTACATAAAAAATAACGCCGATGAGATGCTGCAAATTAGGCCTTCTATGAGAGGAATATACAAAATAAAGCCTTACTGTTTACTTTCAAACCTAATTATAATACAAAATATATTTTATAAGAACAGAAATATAAATATAGTTGTTTTTTGTTTAAACCCTTCTTAGATAATTATTTGTTTAACAACAATAGTTACCAGTGGGAAAATTAGAGGAATATACTTCATTTAAATTTTGAATCCTGTGCAGAATTGCAAAACAAAGAAGCAGAACCATATTCTAAGTTATCATAGAAGGCCCACTGTTGAGTTCGAAAGACAAGTAACTCTTTAGGCACATGACCTATCTTTTTAGGTAATATGATAAGTGTTGTAGAAAATGAGTTTTATTCCACCCAACCTGAACACATGGGTAATTGATGAGAACCATTATATCATGTTTTACTATATCGTTTGAGTGTCATAACGATAATTCTGGATTTTTCTTTTTTTTAAAAAAAAATAATTAAAATCGGATATTTCATTCGATTAAAGAACTAAGATCTAGTACGTGTTTACCTAGATTCGTTTAGCATGCATATTTACTGTTTGTGGTGCATGTAATTATTTTCAATGACTAACATGTACAAAAGTCTTCTGTAAATCAAGTTTTAACCGAAAATATTTTGTATGTTCTTTGTA